TGTTGTTCTAAGAGTATTTCACAAAGCGTTTTAGCGCTAAAATTAGCTCCTAAATCTGTGAAATGTTAGGAGCAGTGAAGAGGACTCCTAAGTCACTAAGACCAAATCTGAACTACCCTAAAATGGCTTTTGCCATCAATCTGCCTCAGAATATAAACATTTTAGAAACATTTGAAGATAGTGAGCTTTTAAAAAGTTATCGGCTTTGGTTTGGAGGTTATCCCAACTCCAAATTTTGATTATATCCTTAATATATAGCTGTTCTCACGTCCAGTTTGGTTTTCTTTTATGTTTGCATGTCTTACTATCAGCCATGATTATTTTACTCTGCTAATTAAAAGGCTGTTTATATGCATATTACCAAAATTGTATTAGTCGCAGAAAAAAAAAATTCCACATGAAGTGGCAAAATCACGCAGTCTGTGGCGGACAAATCGTTAACGGCTTGTCTATGTGGTAATATAGTACATCGGGCAGGACATCCATATGCTCACCTAACATTCATCGACCTCAAATATGGCTTATCATCTGAAATATGTATGTAGTAGCAACTTTACATGGCAGCTCAATCTAATGTTAGCCTAGAAAAAAGTGCGCCGTTTACGTGTCTGTGTGGAGTGTGGAAGCTGAACAGTAGCGCGCTTGGGCTACTGCATGACAGATGGAGGTGCCGGTGCGATCATTGGCTCTTAAAATACTTCGTAATTTTTGGTCATACAGATAAGAGTAATGCATCTTGCATCTTGTATCTGTAAAGACTCTACGTTTATTCATGTGCACTCAGAATAACAATGAAACGTTGTGCTTTTGTAAAATAAAGAAAGCAACCAGGATGCGCTTTCTGCCGTCTCGGTCTCTGTGAACTCGAGCGCGTGGGGTATGAGTGGTTATGAACGAATAAATGAAACGCATTTGTCCGTGTTTCACTCCGTCTCGAATCGCGCTCGCAGAAAGCGCTTGAGAAACAGTGTCTCTTCCGCAGGCTCGAGCAAGACTGTACGGCATTCACATTACATGATTTGACAGATTTTTACGTAGAAAGGGCGACAGCGCACCGCATTAAAAGAAATGATCATTCATGTTTTCATAAGTGCTGGCCAAATTCAAAAACAAAACTAAAATTAAATCATCTTTGAGAGCAACAGGGCCCCCTGGTGTTTCGGTGTTACGTATTTTGCGTATAGGGATGATCGGCTCTGCACTAGTGTAACAATAAATTATTAAAACGTTAATGCAGTGTACTTGCTGTTTTTCCCTAACACATTCATAATTATTATATTTGCCGGTGCGCTGTGGCAAGCCTTTTTTGCGTGCGCTTGAACGCTTATTAGGCTATGTAGGCAATTAAAGGCTCGATCATTATGGTTTATTAATAAAAGTGCGACTAATAGT